TATTTCTATATATGACATGGGGAAGTTGAGGTTTTTTAGGTGCAGTACCCTTGCAAGTGGTCTGCAGTTCATAGACTGGTCTTGCAGAGCCAGGGCCTCCACAGTCATTCCTGGCTTTCAGTTAGGAGCTGGAGAGTGTGTGGTGGCTCTTGAGTAATTTTGAGAATTTACTCCGGTCTGAAGGGTTTGGGACTGTTCTTTTGCATGGTGACTATTGGAAGAAGAGCATTGTTAAGGACTTTGAAAAGCTGTGGGGGCTTTGGGGGAGGTATAATTGGAGGTCCAGGAGTAATTTTATGGAATCTGTCCCAAAAAAAAATGTGAAATGAAGGTACCTTCTGGAAAAAAATCACAAAACTTTTTGGGTTGTGGATTTTTATCCAATTTTCTTCATTCCAGCATTTTTTCTGCACATGCATGAAGAAGGTACCTGTCAGGGCACATGGTATTTTTTATAAGCAAAATTTGAATCTGACATCCAGTTCCTATCATTGTTAGTTCTGCTTACAGCTCTGGAGGTTTTAGACAAAAGCACTCCTGACACAACTGATTTGTCTGCACTGCTCATTTATTTTCTCACAGGACCCCGTGGTTAAACCACTTTGTTGTTCATACTTTTTACAGTGATGTAGAAATGCTTGCCCTAGGATCTGAGCCATAACCTCATGAGGTGGGAGAGGATTGTATAATAGCACCATGACAAACCAGCTCAGGACTGCAGGATGTTGGAGTGGTTCCCCACAGAAAAGTAAACGGTTTGTTTTTAAATCATTACAGCAGCCATTTGCTCTAGAAATTTCCATCCTTTTGGACATTTTTTTTCCTGTGGAGGAGCAATAGGAGAGAAACTCAGTTCATGTATTTACAGTTATTGTTAAAATTTCTAAGCAAAAATTCGTCATTAGTTGTCCAGTCCTAAGCAGAAGCTTTTTATTTCTGTGTTTGATATAAAAAGAATTGTAAAATGTTATAATATTATATATTTTATTTGCAACACTTCTTGAACTTTAAATGTTGGAAAACAATTCTTAGTGGTATCTATCAGGAAATAAGCTGCTTTTCTTCCATATTTTGATTTTTTTCTAATTCCAACAATATATGCATAAATTAGGTTCTTTAATGGTATCATAATACTGATTTTGACATTTTCTTTCCAAGACTTGTCACAAACATGCACACTTAGATGAACAGCAGCTGCAGTGGGAGGTCAGGTTGAATTAAAGGGGAACATAGAAAATATCCTTCTAGGTGAACTGATCCATAGGCTTATCATCATCAGGACACTGCAGAGGTTGTTCTGGGTTGAAATGTTCCAAGGGCTGTAATGGAGCTAAGCAACTCAACCATATTTGGCAAATAGGAGGGATTTTGGAACTTATCTTGCTCTTCTGAAAAGCTGAGCTTTGAAATGCTCAAATGTTCTGATGAAAATTCCAAATAATAAGAATTTTTCAGTATCTTTAAGGATGGAGATGCCACAGTCTCTTGGCAGCCTGTTCTGGCATTTGATGCACCTCATTATGAAAAGAATTTTCCTGATCTCTAATCAGAATTTTCTGTGTTCCATTTTACATCTGTCATCTCCTGTCCTATCCTCTCCAATGGCTTCATGTCCTCTATTCCCTTCTATCAAGTAATTTAAAAGAGCTTCTTCTTTTTCAGGCTAAACCAACCCAATTCCATCAGCCACTTCTCAATACCTGCTACCAAATATTATTAATAGGTTGTTCTCTTTAAATTTAAGTGACAGAAGCACAAAACCTCTTCAGTTTGACTTGAGAATTCTCTCTGAGGGACTTTGTTCTTTTTGCTGACCACACCCAACCCAGTGGGAGGTGTGTGGCTTCCCTGAGACCTGGGTAAGGGACATCATCAAGAAACTTCCCAACCTGGTACAGCCCTGGTACAGGTTGTTGTCCTCTTAGGGTTTTCTGAGGGCAGCAGTGAAGTCCCAGCAAAAAGGAGAAGGACAATGAGGAGGGGAGCCTGGGGAAAACTGGCCAAGGGCTGTGGAGCACAAGCTGTGTTCTCTTCTGTGCTGCCAGTTGCACATGATGCAACAATGATGGAGCAAGAAACAGGAAAGTAGTGCAGATGAACACCTGGCTTCAGGACTGGTGTAAACAGCAGCATTTTGTGGTTTTTGATCGTGGGTCAGTTTATACAGCTCTGAGCTTGCTGGCAGCAGATGGGGCCACTTGTATCAGAAGGGAAAAGGGATCTTACTCAGGACTCTGCAGGGCTCATTGAGAGGCCTTTGAACTAGATTTGAAGTGGGACAGGGGCATAGCCAGGCTCGACAGAGATAAGGTGGGGCCAACCTGCTGGAAAGCAGCTCTGAGGAGAAGGTCCTGGTGGACAACAAGCTGTCCATGAGCCAGCAGTGTGTCCTGGAAGCCAGGAGGGCCAGTGGTATCCTGGGGTGGATTGGGAGGAGCATTGCTGCAGGATGGGGGTGATCCTGCTCCTCAGCTCTGGTGAGGCCACACCTGGAGTGCTGTGTCCAGTTCTGGGCTCCTCAAGAGGGACACAGAGCTCCTGGAGTGGGTCCAGGGAGAGTGACAGAGATAATGAAAGGTCTGCAGCATCTCTCTTATGAGAACAGGCTCAGGGAGCTGGGCTGTTCAGCCTCAAGGAGAGACAGGGAGGGAGGACATTATCAATGTCTGTCAGTGTCAGAAGATGGACCAAGCTCTTGCTGGTGATGCTGAGCAATAGAACAAGAGGCAATGGGCAGAAACTGATGCACAGAAATTCCACCTGAACATGAGGAAGAATTTCTTACCTGTGCAGTGATCGTGCACTGGAACACATTGTCCAGAGAGGCTGTGGAGTCTCCCTCACTGGGGATATTCCAGAACCCTCTGGATGCAATCCTGTGCCCTGTGCTCTGGGATGCCCTGCTGGAGCAGGGAGGTGGGAGCAGGTGACCACTGTGGTCCCTTCCAGCCTCACCCAGTCTGTGATTCTCTACAATGTTTATATTCTTCTCTACCTATGCCAGCTAACATAGTTTGGGTTGTTGGTTTTTTATCATGTAATATAAGACATGCTGCCTCTGTCTGAGAAGAGCTACATTTTCTCTCAGTAAAGTTGAATGTGCTACACTAGCATTCTGCTAAACATCTGGGTTTCAATAGATTTTCTACACACACACACACACACACTGGAAGTCATGTAAGAATTTATTATTTATTATCAAAAAAATAATATTTCCAAGGAAATGTGAAATGGTTTAAAATCAATTGTTCTCATTGCAAAGAATAAACTGTTGAAGAGACAACCTTAAATATAATAAAGCAATAAATATTAAGAAAGTGCCTTTACAATAAACTGGTTGTTTAAGGATTAATGTAGCATGTTTCAAGTAGTGATTTACGAATGATGAGTCAGACTTGGAATTCAGAACTTGCTTGACAAAGCAGAACAAACAATATAAAAATTTTGCATGATTAAATTGCTTATTGCTTAAGCTCAATTTACTATTAGCTTTTGTTAAATTATTCCAAAATAAAATCAAATCCAGATTCAAACCCTGGACCTTCTCTCTCATGATCTGAATAGAGAAAAGTAGAATTTTATTCTCTAGCCTCGAGATGCTCATTAAACTTAGACTTTTCTGTGAGAAACCATAGAGTTATGAAGGGATTGAATCAACAGCTGGCATTTCTATGATCTTTGAGCTTTCATTTAAGACATTTAATTTTAGTGCATGTGTGATGTTTTCATATGTCTAGCTGTAGATAATTTACTCTGTATCCTACCTAAGGTAGGTCAGGGTAGCCTTTTGATTTCTTTAGAATACAAGGATTTCACAAAGCTCAAAGTTGGGCTCTTTGTGCCTTCTGAGCTGGGAGGAGAAATGCCCCAGTCGGTTCTGGGGCTGCTCCATGGGTGAGTTCCCAATGACCCTGGCACCCAAATAATGCCAGGGGAGGCAGGACTTGCCTTTGAAAGGCCCTCACCCAGCTCTTCTGGCTGCCCACAGAGTACCATTGCTGCCTGAAAGGCCTTTGTGAGCCCTGCTGGGCAAGTGGAACATTCTTCCAGGTGCATTTCTTTCCTTATTTGTGTGTGTTTGGAGGTGCTCGGGGAACTCATTTCAGGGTAGTCTGTTCAAAGAGCTTTATCTCAATAACACTCTCCTTTACAGGCACAGCCAGGTAATGTATTTTAATGTTCTTTGCAGTTGCTTACCTAGAATGACATTGTTAAAGTCAGGTATTCCATTTATTCTTACATAATTTATGTTCTATTGTGTCTTTTTAAAAATCCTATCTCCTCTGGAACTTGAAATTTCCTAAGAAGTTGGAGAAAAACAAAGAAACTTGTTTCATGCTTCACTAATTCTTTACTTGACTGTGTCCAGGTTTTAATTTTATAAGCCTTCATTATGACGCTTTTTCTTCCCCAATAGCTATTTATTAACATTTTGATTTCCTGACAGGGTGGCTTTTGTATAATTCACATTTTTCTGACCAGTCTCAGAATTTTTATGTTCTTTGATATATCAATTGAAAACTGATTTGCATATTGATACTGGATGGACTTCTTAAGTAATAACCTATTTTCAGCTTTGCTTCTTGTTTTTTTAAAACTGACTGCTTTCTGAGGGCTTCATTGGGGATTTCTTAGTTGACTTAGGGACACCTAATTCATGTTTTCATTGAATTATTCTCCAAGTTGGTGTCTGAACCATAACCCTAAGAATCTATAAGAAGAAATTAATTTCTTGTATAGCACAAGTTTTAGTAGGTACAAGTCAGATGATCCACTTAATTGCAAAATTAATTTAGCCTTAAAGGGAACAGGTTGGAATGTGTCTCCACAGTTTTTACCAATTCTCTATGGTAATACCCACTGATGTCTAGGCATGTGTTTTGTTTTTTTCCCATGTATGGATTTTGGACATGCAGTTGTATAAATTCCCTGTTCCCTTTAGTCTCCATGATAACATTAGAAGGTAGACTGAGATTCTTTTTTCTTGCTTTATTTAATAGACTCAGAACCGTATGAAGCTGATGGCTGACAACTATGAGGATGACCACCTCAAATCCTCATCCCATTCCAACCAAACCAACCACAAGCCCTCCCCTGACCAGGTAATGTCTCTCTCTTTTGTTTTTAAAGTAATTTTTACTGTGAGGTCTGATGATTTTGTGTCATAAGTAGTTTTCCCTGACATGCTTGCAGTACCTTGGAACAAAAGTAGCCTTCCAGAATGCAGTTATAAACCAGAAATGGGTGTTGCTGTTGTGTTGGCTTTGTGTAAAGCTCCTGAAATGTGGATGTGCCTTGTGAAATGTGAAAGTTCCTGGTACCAAGCTGTTGTTAGGTGGGTGGAGAGGAGGAGAAATTGAAAAAGAACAAAAACTTCGCTCTCCTAAAATGTGAGACTCGAGTCCTGTATGACATATTCAGATTTTAGTAGCTCAGGTTTACTGCTTGAGTGTGTGGAGTGTCCAGGACTGTTTCTTGTCTTCAGTAGCAGGAAATCATGCTCCAGGATCAGCTTTCTGATCTGTGGATTGCATGTGAGCAGTTCCCTTCATTTCCCACGAGGAAATCCCAGCCTCGGTGCCAAATGAGCACAGACTGCTCCCTCACAAACTCAATGGGCCGTGAACTGAAGGAAAATCAATTTACCATCTCAAAAGCAGTGAGGAGCCTCCTGTGGCATTTACAAAGCACAGCCGTGTGCTTGATAACTATTAGAGAGATTAACCATCCCTTGGGTAGCACAGAAAATGCCAACATAATTGCACATCCCATGTTGTAATCTCATCCACTGCAGTTTAATTAAAATATTAGCCATCATTAATCACTGCCTCGATGGGGTGAAGGAATGCTTCTCTTTGTCCTCTGATTCATGTAGAAATTGGTGAGATCTGAAGGGAAGCATCTCACTCTAGTCCTTTAAGTGCCAGCCAAGTGATACACAGAAATAATGAGTAAGGTACAAGCAGAAAATGTCAAAAGCCAATTACTTATCCACCTGCAAAAATAGATCTTGAAAAAACTCCTTTCATGTATAAGAAGGAGTGTATACAAAGAAACTATCAGAAAAATTCTCATTTTCAAGGGAACTTGCTTTTGCATCCTAATTTAATACCTTCCTCCACTGTACATTGACTGGCTTGAATTTTCTGCTGTGTTTTTGGAAGATTTTGGTGTTTCACTCCCCTTTTTCAGGGGAGTGAAATTGTTAACACTGAAATTTAAATGTATTCCCTAATCTTAATTTGGCACAAATGTTAGAATATCTGCTGTTTCTACACTGAAGTCTACAGAGAGCTGAAGCCATTTCCAGCATGTAACTTTAGTACAAGCTTGCAAATGAATGCAGAGTAGCATTCACAGATGAAATGAAAAGATAACATGTAAAATCGAAATAAAATTTAGACATTTACGGAAATTCTTGCAAAGACCCCACAGGAAAGGACAGTAGGGGAGGAGGGGGTGGGAGGGGGCTCTGATTGCACTTCCCCTTTGCAAAGGGACATTTTGAATGCTGGCAAAGCCTACAAGGGAGCAAAGAAAGCTGTACCTCAAGGCAGCTCAGAATACTGAGTAAGGAATTGAAACGCTTTGTTCTACTGTTTGTACTTACAAATGTGCTTTAAAATACTAACCAACTCTTTATTTCATTCCCATGCTGCTCTGGGGCTTTCCTCCCATTGCCACCTGTGCACCTCTAGGATGAGGAGGAGGGTATTTGGGCATAACCAGTCAGATGCTCTTAGCTCAGCCATTTTGTTCAGAACGGTGAGAACCCAACCTCTCCTGCCAATAGAAAAGTTTCCAGCAGTCACTCACTCCCACACCTCGCTCCTGTGCTTTGTGAAACCTGGCTGTGCTCCCTTCCCATTGCTCCCATGTCTCTGCATGAGGGTGTTTCTCGTGTGGTTTTTGTGCAGTTTGTGATTTTCTTCTTCTAATCATCCTGCCATTGTTTGACCATGTTGTGGGGAGAACTTTCCAGGGCATGTAATTGAGTTTCTGTGCAAGTAGGAGAGAACAGGAAATGTCTTTTATATCATTTATCATTGACTTCACGGAGGAAACGTTTTCAATCAGATTCTTTTTCAAAGCAGTTTGCACCCTAGCCAAACCTATGTGTGCTTTTTCAATTCTGATTTGTAAAGAATTTGCTCAGAGATAATGTTCCTCCTGAAGATAATGTTCCTCCTGAAGGTTTTAAGCATGTTGAGATCTGCTGCTGAGATTGCTGCCGTGCACGCTGACCTTAGCAGTCACAGAGATTTATCAACTCACATTACAGGATTCTCTGATGGACCAGGAGTATGAATTGTCTATAAATGTGAAGGCAAAGAGGAATATCCCCTTAACCTTCCTCTCTCCCTTCTATCTCCCTCATTCTTTCAAAACAATGGGGGAGAAATTTGGAGCTGTTTTTCATTTAAAGTGCATTTTGTTTCTCTGTGTCCGTGTCCACAATTTTTTTTTCTTTTCTGCTGTCAGATTGTCCCCACAACAACTCCTGTTTCCAAAAGGGAAGGGCAGAGGACAGAGCCTTTCTCCTCACTCCTGTTCTTTAGCAAAAAAACCTCTTGCTGGCCAGGAGTCAAATACTGATTAGTCCACTACAGTACACAGGATTCACTTATGCCTTGGAGTATCAGTTTTAAAGCAGAATACATTTCTCTGAAGTACTTAAGGTATTTTAAAGGACTGATGACAATATTTTAGAAATCTATATGAAACTTTTTTCTTCCTCATTTATCATTTTAAGAAAAAAAAATTTCACATGAGTTTCTGTGCACTTTTTTCTAAGAATTTGATTTTTTCGTATCAGCTGTTTGAAAGAAAACTAAAAGTTTCTGTGGAAATCTTGGATCCTTGCATTTCTGAAAATTATTGCTTTGTATTAGATTTGTAAAACATTCATGAGAGAGTAAGGCACTCTCATCTCTTGCACTTGCTCAATTAACTGCAGTCTGTCTGACTGTATGGATCAAATCCCTCTTTTCAAGCCAACCATCTGAAAAATTTAATCCAACTGTGGCAGTGTCAAACTTGAATTTCATGCCTTGGGGTTTGAACTGAGAAAATCTCTTTAGTGGACAAATTGATAAAGTGCTTCATTAATTTCCACTCGCTGTTGATTTCACATCATTTTTGAATCACCGCTGTTGCAATGGTTGTGTGCTCGTGTGCATTGTTACAAGTTTTAGAGATAATGCTTGTAAAGATCAGCTGAAGCACAGAAATTAAACAGGGGAGATCAGGTAAGTAAATGATGAAGAGGACACTCACTATAAAGGTAGGAATAATTCTGATTTCCCTTCTGGAGCAGACATGGAGTTTGTGTAGAAAACACTGAGAGAAAGATTTCTTCCCTCTCCCATGTGCTGATGCATTTAAGAATGCGACTGTGCTAAGAGTATGGTTTTTCATAGTTTTCTGAATTAATGAGTGGTTGACATAAAATACAGCTTATCTCTCCAGTTTGAGGCACTTTCCTCAGGAAAGCTGTTACAGAGTATCCCAGTCAAAATAATGAGTCAGCCAGCAGCCTTGCCTTCCATGCATCTCATCAGAGAAACTTGTCGGCCTCAAGATTGTCGTGCATACATCAGCAGGGAAGGTATAAAGGTGATGGATGCTTCCCAAGCCAGTTATTCCCAACAGAGTACATGTTTTTACTGTGCTATTCCATGTTCATTAAAAAAAAAGTCCTTATTCTCTTTGTAAAAGCTAAGATGATGTAAGTTACCGAGTCCCTAACCTCCATGTGCTGAATTAAATTTATGTATTACAGTGATAAAATGTAACTAATAACATGGAACTTGGCAATAAGTTTGTTTTTTAAAGTTCCTTCAGGTCTGTGGATGCAATCACCTTCAGTCAATACTGAAAAATAAATGGAGACCAAAAAACTATGTACAATAGCTAACTCCATTATTTTATTTTTATGCTTTAGGTCTTAAGACTTTTACCCTCCAGCATTCTGGAACTGACTGAATTTAGTATTTAATTGTGCCAAGTCTATACATGACAGCATTATCAGATAGAGCTCCCCTGAAATGGAGCACTGTTCATAAACATATGCACCCTCCCTGTAATTTCTGAGGATGGTAGTTTACATTTCAGTTTATAGTTCAATGTAAATACCATCTTTCATCCTGAAATAGTCTTTCCTAGCATTTTTCACTAGGCTCGTTTCCTTGCTGTCTGAATTTCTTATGACTCCTTTTATTCCCCAGATGGAGCTCTCTCCTCCTCTACACCCAAATCAATTCCAGTGTGATTTCACATGAGGATGCTCTTTGGTCTTTCTCAAATGCTGAAAGTGCTCTGGCCATTGGCTTAATTAGTTATTACTAACTTTTGTCAAGAATAATATAAATGTACACCTTAAGAGATCTAATACATGCAAAAGGATAGGTGTGTATGTGGGTGTGTCTTCTTGTAGATCTATGCCAGATGTGTGCCACGTGGGGGAAGGAAAGGCAAAGCTTCCATACAGAGATTTCCCAAGCTGCTAAATTCATCCAGTTGTCTTGTGAAGCACAGCTGTGCTACCCGAAATGGGAGAAAGTGTGGGTGTGGTTCAGAATTAATTAAAAATTGTTATTGTACTTAGTAGAGCGACAGTGGAATGGTCAAAGAGCTAGCGTGGAACTGGAGTGCATAAAAATGGGGACATTTCGAGATGATGAAAATATTGGCAATTCCTATTACCCTAAAAATATTGTCAAACAAAAGGGCTCTGTGACATTTTTCTTTAATACTCTGACAGATTTTAAGTCAGAAGCAGTAGGCATTGTGAGTTGAGCACTGAAGGCACTTGCAAAATTTAACACTTCAGATTTCAGAGGTGATGGATGTCTGTGGTGGAAAGAGGGGCTAAGTTATTACAGGAAAATATTTGGCTCATCTCACAAAGCTTAATGTAATCTTTGCCAGTGCAGTCAAACCATGTGAAGTTTTCATAGGGATCACTACAACACTAAAAGTGTTTATACTTTGGGAACTTTGAGGAGAACATTGATTTTTTTTTTTCCTACATTATTTGATTCTGATTTCTTTTAGCGAAGTAAATAGTTTTTCATGGTGAGTTCCATGAAATGACATTAAA